TAACACTTATCCATTTCATTTATACTTCAGTCTTTTAGGATTTAGAAAGACGTAATGAAATTCTATAAATTTAAGTTCACAAAAAATTATAAAATAATAATTATTTACATGAATGTTTTGTGGATAGTGGTTATACACCCTCAGTAATTATTACATTCGACACAATTTATAAGATACATTCGTAGATAAAACAAATATTTTATTTACATTTGTTAAATTATAATATTTAGAGGTCACCCTGTATTTTTCTTTTACTTTCAATAAATAGTTAGAATGCGATTAATACGCAATATTTTTACTATTTTAATCATAATATACTAAAATAAAAATATAGTATAATATTATAAAATTAACTATTTATCAAAAAAAAAAAACCCAAAGAGTTCTCAATGTGACAAAAACATGACTCGTCGTCCTCGATTATACATGCAAATTGCATATTTTTTCTCTCACTTATTTACACCAAATGGCTAATTTTATTATATTATGCTTAACTGTACTAACACTGTGTATACAAAGACGGAAACATTCTCCAGTATTGAAAAAAAAAATCGAATAGCCAACGTTGTAAATTATTATGGGTTTCATTTTGATGGTTTAGTAAAATAAGTAAGCGTGTTTATTTTCAAGAAACCTACAATAATCATTTATACTCTTAATTTTTCTTAAGTTATCGTTAATTAAAAAAATATAGATGATGCTTAGTTTATACCTTGCAAATACGTATAATAATCTAGGATTCGTTTATTATATATATTTTAATTAGCTAATTAGGTGTTTGCTAGATATTTTGGAAAAAATGTGTCAATGAAGGGGCATTCACATTAATAAGCCAAAAATATCAATAACCTTTATTCTAGAAGGAGTAAAAAATCTTTCTAGACTGAAGAGCAGTACAATAATGCAGTATAAACACACATTTTATTTTATTTATATAACAAATTGTATTGATTTTTAACATCCTTTTTATGATCTACACGCTTACAGGGGCGGGTTTTATCACTCACCAAGGGGGGGGGGCTAATTGAGGATCAAGAATTTACCTAGCTGTATTTTAAATCCAAAATCCAAGAATAAAAAAAAATAGCTTGAAACCTAAATATTCAAATAGTCATAATAGAAATTATGGTTATTCATAAGAATAACCCCTTAGCCACCCCCTTAAACCCGCCACTGCACGCTTAAAGAAAACATTTTTTGTAGTCACTGGTGAGTGAAATTAGGGTGTCAAATCCTCCCTTTAATTTTTATGACATATCTTATTTTTTTACTTCAAATAAAAAATCAAACTAATATTTGAACGATGGAATGTCTTAGCTTCGATGCGATACTGAGAAAGTACTGATTTTACAATGGTGTATTTGTATTTTTTTATCTTCTAAGCCGCCGAATCGATCTTCGTGTATCTAATTTGTTTCTGGTATCCAAAAAATGTGCTTATTTTTTAACTTAAAATTACGGTGCGCTATATTTTTTTTGGAAATAATCTAATTAGTTTAAAATTTGGAATATTTGTTAGATAATAAAGTAGTATGGTTAGTATACGTTGACAAACTGAAAAAAGGTGTAAACTTTTTATTTATATCACTTGTTCGTAGTTTTTAGGACTTAGGTCTGAGAATTAGACTATAGATTGTGTTAATATAATATACAAGTAATGTTTTATTGTTTGAGTTGCCGTAAGCTATTTTCTTTACCCAGGTAGGTATGCATTTATTTATTAGCTGCGGCTACCGTTTTGCCATAAGTAATATCTAATATTCTACCAAGGCGATAGTGATGGTTCTAACAGCTTGAAGCGGCTGTGTGTTCTGTTTTAAACCTGATAGTCACTCGATAATTATTATGGCTAGTGCGCTAGCAAGTGGATAAAATTAAATAGATCTCTATAATTATAGTTGAGCAGCGCGTCGTAAATTTTACGGCTGTTCTATGGTACCTAAATGAGTTCAACAACTATCACAAGCATGTCCTGTTGAAAAATCGTAACAAAAAAAAAAAAAAAGTTGCATCAAGCATTTAAATTGTAACTAAACTGTATACAACGCTTGATAATTAAACGAAAGAATTACTTTATAGGCTTTTAGGTGGTATATTCAACAAAGTTGTTTACATTTAGGTATACATAATATGTCATTCAATTTTATTTAAAATGCTGTACTTGGTATAGAGTCTATATTACACTCTACAGTCCATCACAAAAGTTCTATACTATAGAGTATAGTGTACAAATATCGTGAACCTATATATATATATATATATATATTGTCTATATGTTGCCCCTTAATATATATATAGCCGGCATCGGACGGCTTGCTGCCATTTAACACGTTGGCTACCAAGCCATTTTTCATAATGCTCTTTTGGTGTACCATGAGGGTACTCGGGTCTTTCAGTATAATATATATTTTTTGTGTTTGATGCAACACTAACGCCATCTACTTTTATAAATGTGTACCAAATACCGTTAAAGCGTCTTGAATATACCTGTGATAACTGATAACTGTGGGAGTGCTCGGGCACTCTTAAAAAACAACAAATTTGATATTTCATAAAACAATTACTATTCACCCAGAATGATATGATATGATCCATGTTTATAAACTATTGACTTGGTACACAGGGAGAGACTTTAAAAAATTGACAGGGTACACAAAAGCTTGAGCGGTGAGATAACTCAAGTACCCTCATGGTAGCCAACGTGTTAATACGGGGTTTTGTATAGGCAATTTTTGTCAACAATTTAATTTAACAATTTAATTACACATTTGTATTTGTGTTAATTAGCTTATTTTTCTTTGTTTAAAACATATAGCCTTCCTCTTAATTATAACTATTATCATATCGTTGTAATATGTCTAAAATATTCTATGTAATAATATTATTGTACGGATCAGCATACCATGTCGTAAGGCAACCAATTAATGAGCAGCGTGTTTTATATTTATTATTTTATAAATAAAGCGGTTTCTATCTTTTTCTCTACACTAAACTACAAACAATAAACTTACAGCGCAACTTAAAAATAAATATCCTTTGATTTTCAAAGCAACTTCTGTAACAAATACTTCGCCCGACTTCCGAATATTGAAAGAATAAATTAATAGATTTCATAAATATTGTAAGTACATTTTTAATTCGGGATGTTTGAGAAACAAATTTAAACGTAATGTGTATGTGAGTGAGATAGATTGGAGAATTGGGGTTTTTATTTGTTGTTCAGTATTTTGACTTGTTGTGTAGGCATTTTTTAAGATGTCCTGAAACTATATTATACGAGTGAGCTGGCTATAAATGACGTTTGTAAGTGAAAAATTTTAGAGCAAAATAGTATTCTTGTATTTTAAATGCTAAAAAGTCGATAATAAGCGTTAAGAAGACAATAATAATAAAGCTACCAATTAAAAGTTGAACTAGTTTTTGTTAGAAACAGATTTTTAAAAAGCAATGTTTGAAACAAATAACCGTTTTTTAATAATCGGACTTTCTCCAAATGGAATAATAGACTCGCTATAAAAAATTGAAGTCTAGATTCCGAATTAGAAACATTTTTATTATGTTTTATTGACTTCTAGCATAAATAATTACCTTTATAATCATGAAATTATTGTACAAAATTTTGTACATATTTGTATGTGAGTTACTGGTATATATATAATATAAACTATAAACGTCTGCTTATTAGGTATATACGTACACATTTTTAGATTTTGAAACGAACACTTTCAAATTCTAATGGCGTTCTTATTCTATAGATACTATCATATAATAGTCTAAAGTTGTTTTTTCATAAACTATAATACTACCTTTAGTCGAAAATAAGTGATATATATATTTACGAATATGAAAGGACGTCATAATTAATAATCTATTGTATGACGTAAGGAAGATAAATAACAATAGTGTTTTTGTTTTATTCAATTTTTATTTTAGACATATACATACCTTCAAAAATTAATTATAGTTTGAAACACGTCATTTTTAAAATATGTTTATAGTTCGGTGTTAGTATAATACTCTACAGGAAATAACGTAGGTTATCCTATCTAAATTCTGAATTAAACGTACCAAAAAGAGTGATTAATAAGGTTATAGTCTCATTGTGTTTGATTGGTGGTCGATGGTTAATTAATTAATAGTTGAAATAATTCTCGCCGTTAGTTTCTATAGCTAATAGACATAGAAAATCTTGTATTAGGGAAGGACACACACAATATTTTAATATTTTATACACTTAAGGAAAATGACTTAAGTCGAATCAAAATCATCAGTTTTCACATTCCAAAATAAAATATTAACGTCAAAATGACTTTTAAAATCAATTTTTTAGAGTCATACTTTTCTAATTATAAATTGTATAACTGTTGTATACATACCTTCTGTATTTTTTAATTTTAATAATGCACATTATATTTGTTTTGAAAGTTATGAATTACACATATAATAAAGTCAATAGAACAAATATAATTAGTAAATATAACAAATACAAACATTGTTATAATTTGAATTAAAATAATGTAGGTCAAACAAATTGAGATCGAGTGCGCAAAAATACTATAACAACAGTACTAATTGAGCAAAATCAAATTGAATACAGCAAGTGACAAAGTAATTTTTTTTTGCTTTATAACATTAAAATGGATACTTAATAATTTTTAAAAAAATAACATACTTAAATTCTAATTTGGTAGGTAAATGACAAGTTAAATTAGTGTTCTGGTTAAGTAAATGTTATGCTAGTTGTCAATATTAAATTAATATTTTGAGAATTTCATAAAAAATACTCGCACAAAATATAGTTTAACCCGTCCAGTTTATCTTAAACGCTTAAACACATTTCTTTCAAATCAAACAATCTAGCAATGTTACATTAATCACATTTTATCTCATTAAACATGTTTTACTGAAAAGAAAACATTATGTTGAAATTTTGGTTTACTTAAACGCAAAAAAAATAATATAGTTGATGCAGTAGAAGTGACAGTATAAGAAAAGTAAAGTATAAATCGCATTTTTCCATTTTTAGGGTCATTCATAAATAAATAAAAACAAATAACAAAAATAAACTTATAAAAAGAAAACAGACTTAATTAAATGACTTTACAATGGTATTAAATAATTTAATAAGTAAAATGGTAACTTGTAGAGTCATTGTTGATTTTTTCAAAGTTGTCGGTGCTAAAATCAGTTTCTGATAGTTCCACAGACAAAATGTTGGAAAAACATACATGATCACTACTGATCGGATCTCCACAACATTCACAATCAATGACCTAAAAAAAAATAGTATAGATGATGTTAAAATTAATTTAGACGATTAAAATTTGAAATACATTTAATGAACTCATACAATTTTGATTAATAATTATTTATAAAATAATATTAGCGTTATGATGTATTGTTAACACGGTTGTTAGTGATCGTCAGCCTGAATAATCGATACATAACTATAATATCAGTAATTTTATTTTATAAGCACATGTTCACTGTAATGTTATTTATTGTGACATTAAAAATTTAATTTCGATAAAATAGACTGTATTTTCTTTATGTATTCCTCAACAACAAATTATAATTTATCAAAGTAAAACATTTTTTTTTTAATTATTAAAAAATTCCTTTACTTTATTTATTTCTACACCACAATTAGTATTATCAGAATCGCTGACAGCCTCAGACAAAGTGCTATATTCTTGAATGCTGTACATTTTTTGACGGGAAATTCTTTTTAAAGCAGTATTTCTTGCACGTTCTCTAGTACGATAATTAGGATCTAATCTTCGCAAACGTTTCCTTTCTCTCTCTTGTTCCTTTTTCAAACTATTAAGTTCTACTAAATCTTCTTGTTGTTCTTTGATTATGCTATAAAAAAATTAAAGCGTTATTATTATTGTTTTTAATATTAATGTGCATGGTAAAGTAGTCTTACGGTGTAATTAGACATTTTTGTCTACTATTAGTATTGTAGATCCAATTTTTAATACTAGTATTAGTTATAGATTTAGCTCTAGAAAGTCGTTTAGCAACTGTATTTCTAGCTCGTTCTTTGGCTCTAAATTCTGGATTTAATCGTCTAGCACGTTGTCTCTCTCGTTCTTTTTCTAAGCGACGTTTTTTAGACAGTTCACGTTCTTCATTAGTCAATTGTCTCCTGGGCATTTTTGGTACTGTAATTATATAAAAATTGTCAGATAAAAATTGAAAAGTGAAATAGAACATTTTTTTATACTTACAGTTTTAATAAATAATATAATTGGTAACTTGAAGAAAAAAATGTTTGAACTAGTAAATTAATAGAGTTATTTCTGTTACTCTTAAGTTTAATAATAATTAATAACTTTTTAATTATTAATTAACAAATTCGTTTTTTTTCTGAAAAAATATTTGTTTATTCATTAGCTAAAAGGTATAACAAAAAAAAATACCAAAAAATTGATGAATAACAAGCGTGATTAACCAAGTAAAAAGTTGAAAAAAAAAACCAAGAAAAATATTCTATATTACATTATACCAGTTAACACAACTGTTACGCTTAATATTTACCTGAGGTTAAATAAATGGCATTCCATTTTTCTCAGGCCAAACGGACATGCAAAATAATATGATTGAATTTTTGGATTCACCATTACAAGATACGTAATTATAGCAACATTTCATTTGATATTTTTTACATTACGCGCTTGAATATTTATACATGGGATCATGATTCATGCTACGGTCGTCCGCCATAGACTCGAACCGTATTAATTGCTATCCTATGACTTGGAAATTAAAGTCCAAGCACACTGGGAGCCAGCCATGTATTATTTACTGTGTAATATGTTACTATTTATTAACTATAAAAAAAAAAATAGTTATGTATGATAAGCTTCATTCTTATCACGTTTGTTTTATAATCTCTAGTATAAACACAGATAACATACATTTTTATCTTATCTGAGGTATAAATGTAAAATCATAGATATATAAAAATGGTATATAATATCCGTGTGTAAAATTCAAACACAGATGATAACGGTTACAATAGTATTGTAAAACACAGCGTTGACAGCATAAAAATTGGTTGGTTACACTGTGTGGGATTAGCCTTCTGTAATGACCTTCTTCAGCTGTAAAGGTCGAATTCGGCTTTTTCTGAACTTGCCGACTAGCGTCGCCGATCAATACCTGTATATTCACCATACCTCATTTAACTTCCACATACCGATCGATTGTTTGCCGTTTTGCTCGTTGTCCACCCATTTTGCCAGTTTTCTCCACATTGCTGTAAGTATTGACGATTTGATCTATACATTTTGTTAATAGTTAGTATTATAACAATTTTATCTAGTGCGGCTTACTTTACTGACCACATTGTTCAAATTGACATTGAGTATCTCGTTAAAAAAAAGCTTTGATGATATTTTATTTACATCTCGTGGTGTTCAATATTTGTAATTGAAAAAGATCTCCTCGGAGCTCACATTTATACATATTTCCCTGTTGTTACTTCAGTAGTATTAATGATGAAGTGATACTTATGTAGTAACTAATAAGCACATATTGTCAATAATTCATATTATACGACAGAAAACGTGATGTTTAAATATCAGTGTGAATGGGATTGATTTAGGTTTAATATGTGATATATCATATAAAATATTTTTCTTTATGTATCTATTTACATTCATTCCTAACGTTTTTCACGCTAATTCTAAGTTAAGAACATGTTACCTCTATTTAATTGTAATTTGTTGTTCTCTGTAAAGCTATAATACACTCAGGTATACTAAAAATAAATGTTACCAAATGTGTACTTTCCAGTGCTGTATTATGTAGGTAAAAATAAAGTATAATTTGATGAAAATTAGAGCTTAAAATAAATTCTTAATTTTTGGAGTTTTATACAAACATAAACAATAAACATATTAAATAGGTAATAAGTAAATTAGTGTAGTTGTTTGGTTGCATTTTTTAATCATAATTAATAATTTATTGTAGTGTTCCATTACTAATATGGTTAAACAATATTTCTTTCACATTGATGTTAATTGTTGCAAAAAGTTATTAAATTAAGAAAATTGTTATTACACCTTAGCATTTTTAATGATCAATTTTTTATAAATTATCAGTTTTGGGTGGAACAAGTAATACGTGAAATTGAAGGTTAAATTGTATAACCTTCAATGATTTGATGTGTTAATTTTCTTTTGCCTTCCAATAGTTATTATTTTAACTGTTATGAAATAAGGTACATCTGATTATAATTAAGTACTTCTTTATTTTTTAATTATCTACATATTATATCATACGCATAAAAACATTTAGACAATGTAATCTCCAAACTGGTTAATTTGTAAAAAGTGGCAAAACAAATATTTTTTTTTTTTAAATACAGTTATGTAAATAAACTTATTTTTATAAATTAAAATGATATAAGTATGTATTTATGTGTAGATCTGATTGTAAAAGGATGCATTATCTTTATCCTGTATTTATTTAATTATTTACTACATATATCTATAATCCACCTCTTGTTTACTTTGTAATATATATTATTTTGTCCTTAGAATTCAACGAATTGTTAATGAATGATGGTATTCTTCTGTAAAAATATATTGAATCTGAAACTGCATTCTGATATAAGAGTAGTTTTATCTAGGTGTGTATGCCATACTTTTCCTTTCATTAGGGCAAGTATACATGGTGGGGGGAAAGGATGAGAATGATTGCTTCATTAGTAACTATATTAATGTGTAGTGTGATTTATTTTGTTTAACTACCTTCTGATATTGAAAAAAAATGGAGTGATCTGTATTGTGCACAAGTACCAAGTATCATTGGACGTAAACTAATAAGATCCAAGAGCTATTCCTTTATTAAATAGTTCTGATTATAATGCCATTTGACCATAACCTCAATCTGACATTGAAAAATTAAAATTCTTATTATAACTGTCTTGGTGATGTTTTAGGTCTATCACATTGTAGTCTCAGTTAATTATTATTATTTTATATTTAAATCATGTTTCTAGTTAATAAAATATAACTGATAATATTTAATTAATTTGTGCTTAGGTATATACAGACTGTTGTTATATCTCATTCTACTTGTAAGAACACTATGTCTATCACAAAAATTGTTGCACGTTCAATCTTCGATTCCAGGGGTAATCCCACTGTTGAAGTAAGTATGCTTTTGATTAGTGCTTAGGAATTTTTAAAAAAGGTTGGAAGTTCAAATGTAGCTATCATAACATATAAACAATAACTATATACTTATATTTTTTAGGTTGATTTATTTACCCAAGATAAACAAATTTACCGTGCAGCTGTACCTTCCGGTGCTAGCACTGGTATCTATGAAGCTTTGGAACTTCGTGATAATGATAAGAGCAACTACCTTGGAAAAGGCGTAAAAACTGCCGTAAACAATATTAATGATATTATTGCACCAGCTCTTATTAAATCGGTAATTAACATAACCTCTTTGTTATTTACTTAGGTTCCTTACCATCAAATAATAAAACAAAATGTATTTGTAGAAAAATTGTCAAATCAGGTTTTAAACATAATATGTAATTTATTTATATTTAAAATTTATTTTATTCTAAATTTGGGTGCACTAACAGATACGACATTATACAATAAAGTATAATGTATTGAAAATTTAATTGTTTTAACCATACTTTGTTTTATAATTCTATGTGTCGTGTGTAGAATATTAATATTAATAAACAACATCACATATTTGATCTGACATTTATTTTTAGGGAATTGAAGTTACTGAACAAAAAGCTATTGATGACTTTATGATTAAATTGGACGGAACAGCCAACAAAGCTAAACTTGGTGCTAATGCTATATTGGGTGTTTCATTAGCTGTAGCTAAAGCAGGCGCTGCTAAAAAAGGTGTACCACTTTATAGGTATGTTTCCTAATTTTTTTATGATATCATAATATTTTGTTTACATTTTCTGTCATGTATGATTTCAGACACTTGGCTGATTTAGCTGGAAATAAAAACATCATTTTACCCGTTCCAGCCTTTAATGTTATTAATGGTGGCTCTCATGCAGGCAACAAACTGGCCATGCAGGAATTTATGATTCTTCCCACAGGTAATATTAAAAATTTAATATAATTTTTATGAATTGACCTCAACACAATTTATTATACAATTTTTTTTTTTTTGGAATTAGGTGCGAGTTCTTTCACCGAAGCAATGAAAATTGGTGCAGAAGTATACCACAACCTCAAAAATGTCATTAAGGCAAAATTCGGCTTGGACGCTACCGCTGTTGGTGATGAAGGAGGTTTTGCTCCTAATATTCTTGAAAACAAAGAAGGTTTGCGTTTAATTGAAACTGCAATTGAGAAAGCTGGATACAAAGGAAAAGTTGAAATCGGTATGGATGTTGCCGCATCTGAATTTTATGTGTAAGTAATATTAACAAAATAATGACAGAATATTGCTTACTGTTTACTAAATAAAATTGTGTAAATAAAACCTATGTATTTAAAAAACTAACCTAAGAAAATGTATTTTTTTAATGGGCTTTTAAAAAAAGACATTGAAGGGGAATTTTAAATCGAGAATTGAAAACATTTTCAAGCCAAAATTTACACTATTTCTTTTAACTACAATGAACGTTCAAAAAAATTATTGACTGTATGATAGATAGTCAGATAGCTTAACTGGTTTTAAACTTGTTAAAAAAAAAAATAGTTAATTTTTAAAGTCAAGTTATGTCTTTTGGAACAATATAAATGTTTTATTCCAGGAACTTTATTTTATATTATTCCTAAAAGCATAACACTAAAATTATTTTCATTAACTTTTTTTTAACAAGTTTAAGCTATCATACTGCTATCAATAACTTTCATCAACATTTATTGTAGTTAAATTATGGCTTGAAAACATTTTCAATCCCTGTTTTAAATACTATCTTTATTGACCATGTTTAATATTATATATTTTTGTCCGAGAATTTGAAACTATATAATTATTTAAAATAGATCCACTTTTTTTGGTTGGATTCCGCTGTATTGGATTTTTTATTAGAATTTTTTTTTTCAGTGATGGAAAATATGATTTGGACTTTAAAAACAAATCTGAAACTAAGGATAAGAGTCAAATAATCTCTACTGAAGAATTGACTAACTTATATAAAGAATTCATTAATGAATTCCCAATTACATCTATTGAAGATCCGTTTGACCAAGATCATTGGGACGCTTGGTCTGGGTTAACTGGTTCTACTAAAATTCAGGTATACTGAAACTTAAGTTTCATAAGTTACTATTATTATTGTTGAAAATAAACATTTTTGTGACTACAGCCCCCCTAAAAAAAAGTCTCATATCATTGGAAAACTAATTACCTTCCGTGCTCCACACTGCAACTAAAAATACAACTCATTAAATTATCAACAAAAATTCCTATATTACATTTTATTTAATTCAAATATTTTGATTAAAGTAAAAACTTTAATATTTAACCAAACAAATCTTGTCGTACACGAATAAATTATAGATTAATTCATTTACAGATTAATAGTTGTATTCAGTATTGATATAGTAAATAATTGATTTGTTTTACTCGGATTATAGATTGTCGGTGATGATTTAACTGTTACCAACCCATTACGCATAGCTGAGGCTGTTGAGAAAAAAGCTTGCAACTGCTTATTATTAAAAGTAAACCAAATTGGTACAGTAACAGAATCTATTGATGCTCATTTGCTGGCCAAGAAAAATGGATGGGGAACAATGGTGTCTCATCGTTCAGGCGAGACCGAAGACACCTTTATTGCTGATCTTGTTGTTGGATTGAGCACTGGACAAGTAAGACAACTTCCATAATTATAATTAAAGAACACAAAAGAAAAGTACCAATGAATATTTTCTTAATGAAAAAAAAAAAAATGTTTACAATTATTTATATATTATACATTTTTTTAGATTAAAACTGGAGCTCCTTGTCGTTCTGAACGTCTAGCCAAGTACAACCAAATACTACGCATTGAAGAAGAACTTGGTAGCAGTGCCGTTTACGCTGGCAAGAATTTCCGTAGTCCACAGTAAAGTTCTCCTCCGTTTCGATAATATTTATGTTAATATTTTATAATATTAGAGAATATTAATATAATTACGTAGTGGGAGGGAATTACTGCATTGTATGAGATGATAAAAAATAATATTCTTTAGTTATTGAATTACATTGTAATACATTGGTATACTTCAGAGAAGATAATTACGTACAATACAATTAATGCAGCATTGCGTTACCTAATTTGAAATTTAATTTTTAGCGTTTTTGTTTTATAATTTATATTGTTAATGTAAAATTTTAGCAAAAAAGAAACTTATGATTTTATGTGTATTTGTTTATTTTTTAAATTAAATATTCTACTTTATCAGAATTAAAATACTTGCTTATTTTTATTATCACTCATAATCTACATGTTCTTTTATCAATGTCTAGTGACTAGTTTTTAAATTATAGTTTCATTTGAAACAAGATTATTCAAAAATTAGGAATTGTTTAAAATTTTTATAGTAAAATGCGCATGTAGTTAGTTCATTTTCTCTGTAATCTAACCGGCTCAAGCGTTTAAACAACCAGACGGATTCAAGTTCTGCCGGGGCGTTTAAGCTTGTTTATAAACGAAATATATCTAATATTTGTTTATACAAAAAAACTAAAACACTAATTCTGTGTATATTATATTAATTTATATTTAATATTTAGTACCTATAAATACATTTATAGACTTGTAGACTTCACTAATATCAAATATGTATATGTATAAGCACAATTTTAAAACGGTTGTAACAAAAACAAAACAACACAAATTACCTTTTGTGTTTTGCGGATGCAAAATCAGATATAACTTCATTTAGGGTGTAAGGTGAAAATTAATTCTTAATTCCTTCTTGATTGAGATCATTGCAAAACCCGCTAAACGATTTTGTGACATTTGGGACCGTAGATCATTTTTAAAATTTTGAAAAGCTTCTTTCCGCTGTGGCAGCCGTCACGTGAAGTGTTAAGAGAATTCTTAAAGCGATAAAAGTATTGTGAAACAGTTCGACTAACTGGTTTTTGCAAATATATTCTAAAACAAATTGGGGATTTGTTTCTGTAGCACTGAAGCGTCTTTGCAAAGCTATGATTTCATCATGTAATTCAACTGAATTAATGTCGGAAATTAAACCGTAGTCTGATGTAAGTGAAATTTGTAGATCTTTACAATGAATCATAAGGTCATTAGTATTTTGTATTTGAGAAATGATAACAAGTTTGCAAGCTCAGCAAGTTGTTCAACTCGTTCGTTAGGTACTTGATTGTACATCTAACCTCTTGAGCTCTATCTAAAAATGCTTTAACAAAGTTAACTTGAAGTTTGGTTTTTTACACCGATAACGACCAATCTCTCCATCCTCTCAATAGCCCCCGACGCTTATCAGTCGGCTGTCGACCAATAATGTAACAAAAACATCAGACGACTTCAATTTAAAAGTATTCCTAAAATAAATAAATATGTGATACCAAACTATAAACTTTATGTAGACGAAACTCAATTCTCAAAGCAATGAAGTATAAAGATAAAAAATAACTGTTGGTTTAATTTTTTTTAAAGTAATAGTTTTTGAATTGCAATAATTTCCAGTTTCCACTAAGTATTTGTTTAGCATGAACAAGAAAAATGGTGTCTTATAAAACACTACGGTTTGGAGTGATGCACATTAACAAATTGACCTTAGTGACCTAAATAATGCAAGCTTATCAGTGGATTAGTATATTTTATGTCGTTCCATTAAAATGTGTAAGTATACTAAATTTAATTTATTTAAAAATTAATAGTATCTTATATCGTAAACTGTGAAACAGTAACTTCGAAATTACACCCGGCGTTGTAAAGTTATTAATGTTTTTTTTTATTACTTAATTAATTTCGGTTACTTTATACAGCCCAGCTGTTACAATATGATATTAGCCATTAGTTCCATTATTATAAGTTAATGTACATTTTAAACACAATTATTTATCGCGTTTTAAAATACTAAAATTTTAAATAAACTATACTATCGTTTCCAAATGCATTGACGTACCTATTTTGCATAAGCTAAGCGCCTTGAAAATCATATTAATAGGCTTGCTATTTTTTAACCTAACGTAGTATTTGTTTTAAGCATTAGATTGTTTCTCTTCTTAAACTTGTATTTATTGTAAATAATTTACAGTCAATACATAAACGGAATGTACGATTCAAAAATTATCGGAGTATATTAATGCTATCGTTATTGTGTTCAGAATTCAGTAGCGGAAGGACAATTAGTAATTTATTAAAAATTTAATTGTAAGTTTATTCAATTTAAAAAAAGTTACCAAACCAAAATGTATATTGTTTGTTATAACTACAGCAAATGTTGCAACAATAACAAACGATGTAAATATTGGTTTGGTAACATTTCCAATTCCTGTTTAATAAATGTTTATTGTTTAGGGCCATATTAAATATAATAATACCGCATACTCAAATCATCACTTTAGGCACTACGAATGTTTTCAAATGCGTGACATTTCATTAGATAAAATTTCTAATTTTATGATACTTATTAGTTGTTACTTACTCATTGTTGTAGCGTAAACAGTTTAATATTTGTAATTCTTAGACAAACCAAAAAATGCTCTCAGCAATTGGTTCTTAATAATTTTAATATAGGTATTCTCTTTTAGTTTCCCGCATTAAAATTGGAAATTGGAATTATTTCCTTGATGGTAAGCCGATTAATTCTTATAAAACTCGTATAATTATTTTGGAGACTACGAACTAACAACTTTACATTGAAAATACAGTTAGCACAAATCAAAAGTGAATTGACAAATTTAATACCTAATCTTTATTAGCAAATACTATATTTATTATTTAAAATGTTATAATTATTGAATTGATTGAAGTAAAAGGATAGGTACATTTGTGAAATGTTGAATCGATGAATTTTAATTTCTAAAAATTACACAATTGTCAGCATTAATATAAACCGGTGACGCCTGTCGAATTACACAAAAGCGCTTACAGATGTATTGGATTTCATATATACTGTACAACTGCAGTAGTAAAGACCATACAATCAAGTTACATCCTATAACGCATGCTGTTACTTATTAGTGTTTACATTATGACTATTGTAATAAATGTATGTGTCGCGGCTCATGACTGTTGTCGTTTTAACGGTGATCGTTTAGAAATGCATCATTTAAGGTCGCCATTCGTTTAACCGTATACTATATTATACCTAAACCTGAGTAAAATGGTTTGCTGTGGAATGTAATACACCTCTATGCCGTGAACTTATGTCGAAGGACGTACGTCCATGCATACATACATATAAACTTCCTCGAGTAGTTGTGAATGCAAATTAATCGAGTTTCAACGTGACTTTAAGTTTGTATTGAACGGTTATACATAATTGGCTAGCTCGCATTTCTGTAAGCTGTGACGGTGTTAACGGTTAAGTTTTTACCCCAAAGGCATTTGTGGGCATTTATAAATTATAATTCTTATTATTTCAGCGGGTGTAAACTAGGTAAAAAAGAGCTCTGCTATAATACTACGGAACGCTTATCACTATGGTCAGTCAGAATTGCATATACATTGTATTCGTGTCAAATCATCGTGATAATATACTCTGAACGTTAAAAAGTGTTAAAAATCATACATAACTCTTAGCTAACTATACCCCCGTTATTATGGGGGAAAAAAACTTGCCTTCGAAAATAATATCTAAACATTCTGTGTTAACTGTGTTTGTTAAGTAATCTTTAAAATACGAATTGATGGAATTAATTGTTTTAAATCGTTTGTTATGGTTAATAGTTGTGATTATAAATTTCGTTTCTTTATTTTAAGCGCTGGCTTCTTTGTTTAAATATTAAATGTATTGTATTTTTTTTTTTGTATCATAATATATTGTGCTATAATATAGAATCACAAAAGCAATTAAAAAAAAACAATTTCGTTTAAATTTTAAGTTAACTTATGTTTTATGGTGTTTTTATCAATAAAAAATTATTTCACTGGATCTACGAAGAGCTGTAATCGTGTACTAAAAAAAAAAAAATAAATAATACCTACTCAAGGACGCCATTTAAAATAATATAAAATATCCACATAAGACTTATAAGACATATTTTCTAAGTCATAAACTAAAGTAGCACAATCATATAATACTGAACAAAGAACAATTAGTACAAACAAGTTTAAATTGATTTTATGAGTTTTTAATGCGATAGAAAAAAGTATTTTTTTTAAATAACCGCATTAAATATTCTATCGTGAAGAACATGACGATGGTACAGTATGGTTTAACATAATATTATACAATTATAACAAAACTATTTTTCTATTACTATTTCAATCGCATTCCGACAAATAAATTGCAATGCATTTATTCAATGACATAATCTGAAAAGCAACATCATATGATCACACGCCACGCATTAACTTTATTATGGTACCACGTACCAGTCGATTTAATAACAAGCCGTTTATAAGTAGGATATTTACATAAATTATACAAATAATAATAGTATTAGGTAACATCGAACGTTAATGATAGGTCGTTCTATTTTTGTTCAACAAAAACAATCAATTTCTTAAAATCATATATATATAAACAAGGACGTGGAATATTACGGTATATGGAAGGAATAATATGTTGGATGTTGTTTATCGTTTGAAATCGTAATTTTAAAGAAAAAAAATCATTTCTTAAGCTTTTTTCGCTTGCAATGGTACTATTACATATTGGCCAATATATTAAGCTATGTTTACCAAATGGCCTAATTTTAACAAAAACTATGTCATAAGTCATGTTGATGTTACTGATATTAATATGGTACAGATGACTGTACTCTCGGTGATGTTCTTGACATGTGCCAAATGACGTGCTACAGTGGACGGTATAGTAATCGCATTTGGATTGATATTAATGGACATTATTATCTTAAATGTCGACTGCTATATTATTACGTCAGAACCACCGAACAAAAACGGTAAACTTTACGTAAGTACGTAATGACGTAGGAAACTACTAGCGTTACACTTTACAATGAAGTCTACAAAGCCGAGCAATTATAAAAAAAAATATGAGTTTTTTTGTTAGTCGTACGTTGTGAGATGGAGCTGAAGCTAGAGTTGAAGCTGTGGAACTTCGGACGTGGAGATGGAGTTGGAGATGGAGCTTGAGATAACAGCTTGTGTACGAGGCCGCAACAACGGCAGACATTTTTATGTCTCGTTCCGCGCAAGCCCGCCGACATGATAATTTTTTTTTTTTGGATGTTCAGACATGACTTTTGAAAATGATTTTTATAATTTTTGAAATACAAAATATTGATTTTAGGATATACAAGTTTGAT